ATATAAAACATGATGTATTATATTCATGATGAAATACAAAAAAATTGCATGAATTTGATGTAATTCCTGCATTTCATAGTTTTGAGATGCAAAATCAGACTAAAGAAAACATTCAGGTCCTGTCATACTATAACTTTTATAAAAAAAAAATTGCACTGAAGATACGCTGAAGATTGAATAAAATAAGTTTACAGGATGCCTCTTTTGGACATGTACTGTAGCTAATGATTAGATCAAATACATAACCTATATTCATATGGAGTTTTTTTATATTCATAACAATATTTTCATACAAAAGTTGTCTGAAATGTTGCAGTGTGACAGCAGGGTCTAAAAAGTAAAAGATATGAAATACTGAGTCATATTTTTGAGATAGCATAATCTCATGACTAAAAATTTAATTGTTTTATCAAAGTAGCTGAAATTGGCTTCCATAGTTTTGCTTTTGTTTTCGTATCATGTTTTTGTGTTTGATGAGGTTTTTCAGTCACGTGATTTTGCTGCAGTACCGCACCGCCACCAGCTGGTGTCGCTSCTGAGACTCCTCACCGCTTCCGCCAGCAGGTCAGCTGACTCTGATGCTGCTGTCAGGAGACATCACGATTTACTCTAAATGGCAACTATGAAGATTGTGCAGGTATAGAAAAATTACGAGCAGTTAGATTACCMCAAATAACGCCCAGACCTTAAATACACGGGTGAGTAAATGTAGTTAACCGGTTTAAAGTGCCGTGGCGTGTGTGTTGTTGTTAGCAAAGCTAGCTAAAAGACGGCTAACGATCCCTGCTGGATGCTACTTGACCTTTACCAGCTTTTTTTTTTAATCGCTGTTGTTGCAATTAACTGGCCACTAACAATAACAGTAAAATTATCTAAATAATCTAGTGGGGGGTAAATCAGTACATTCTGGTATTAGCATCCTCTGAATGAGTTCCTGTTAGCCTGTCTTGTGCTGCTGCCAGCTACTATTATTGTAAACACATGACTTTAAATGCATTACAGCTGAGTAAAAGCTCTTCATAAAGACAGTGCTTTTTATTGTTTGACTAAACGGTGAGAGACAAAACATTAGTGTTGTAATGCAACTTTCCCTTCAGTTTTCTGTTGCTGCTTCAGAGCTGTCATCATGACAGAGTTTTGGTTGATCTCTGCTCCGGGAGAGAAGACCTGCCAGCAAACATGGGAAAACATGATGGCAGCGACCACACGCGCCAACATCCTGTCTACCAACCACAAGTTCAACATCCCAGATCTTAAGGTGAGACCCTATGAGCCCATTTGTAACTGTGCACTTTTCCCTCCTGTTCTTCCAGGACTAAAGCCACCTTCTTCATCTAATTTTGTAAAACGGCACACTGTTTTGCATTTCTCAAGTTTAAATTCATGTAGTATGAAGAAGACTCACCGTGAGGATCTACTGTCAAGAGTTAGATGATTGTCCATTTAAAAAGCAGTCTTTACACACATCGGTTGCTTGCATGGTGACGTTTTTGACCGAACAGCAGCTCAGTTCGCCTGGTCTGGTTTGCCTCTCTGCACTGAAGGTGAATTATCCCGTTGACTCGGCTGTAATGTCCCCCTAGAACAGTTAGTGATGCCTGAGCGGCTCTGGACAAAGAGGCGCCATCCAAAGCACACASGGGCCCCTGGGTGTCACTGCAGACTGATTGAACTTGAGATGTTCAMACACAGCCGAGCTGACCCCATTAAAAAATGATCCAAACCACAGACGTAATCAGTTTTTTCTTGTTTTTGTGAATAAAACAGGTGGGAACACTCGATGTCTTGGTGGGACTATCAGATGAATTGGCCAAGTTAGATTCCTTTGTTGAAAGGTATGTTCTGTTTTCTTACTTMATTATTTATAGCTCGTCTTTATTATCAACATGTTTGTAAAATAATCAAACCAGCATCACCGACCCTCTGATGCAGCTGTGCGGCGAGGAATTTCACACAGACTTGAGGCTTGTCAGCCCAGCAGTCTGATCTTGTTGATTTACAGCCGGCTGACACATCAGCAGCTTTGTCTTTAGTCATATTTATGCCTCATGACTGAGGTGGGCCCGAGTGTAATCTTTTGGAAATAGTGACGGTCAGAAGTCACACGCAGCCACTACTGGCTGAGCTCTGCTTTGCTTCCTCTGTGGAGACTTCCACGGCTGTGAGAAAAACCAACCTTGCAACACGGTTTCACTTGTTTGCTTGTCGTTAACCTAGTTCCTTTTTAAAGTTTCACTCTAGAGTCTGTGGACAAAATGTGCTAACTTGCATCTGTTTATGTGTGTATTGCTTACTTAAGCTTTGAGTGATAACATCATCATCATCATCATACCATTAATAAAACACAATACCGACATCAGAGACTAAACGTAACAAGCTAATGTAATTTGTTTTGAAGCTTTCAGCCGTCTAATGTGRCTTGGCTCCAGGTTTTGCTTCTGCTTTGATCTGCTGCTGAAACATGTTGCTAAGACTCCTCACCTTTGAAACGTGTTCATTTCTTTACTTTAATGGGAACGTGTGAAAGGTTTTGATGTGTCGGCCTCTTTGTGTCCGATTTGGAGCTGTTAAGGCTGAGCGTGCTGGCAGAATGTGCGACCTAACATCACTCATCATGTGCTGGTGTCTCCTGGCTGTTCGCAGTGTGGTGAAGAAGGTGGCTCAGTACATGGCCGATGTGCTGGAGGACAGCCGAGACAAAGTGCAGGAGAACCTTCTGGCCAATGGAGGTACTGAAGCAACTTTTACTTTTGTGTAGGATCTCTCTCTGAACTGTTGTGACCCCACACAACCAGCAGAGTAAAAAATAAAAAGTTCTCTTCAGCTGCTGTTGATGAAAAAAAATAATTAAGCGAACATCTTTGGGCATTTTTGCCTTTTCTGTTTAGTTTTGTTTTTGGGTCAAATGAACTGAACTGATGATCAGACTTCTTTTTTTTTTTCATAAAAATGTTCATTTTATTGAGATTTTATTAACTGCAGGTTGCACGGCGGAGAGGTTATTTTAGTTGTTCTGATTCTTTTAGAGTAGATCTGCTGCGATCACCGTGCAGCTTTAATGTGATTCAATCACAGGACCACAAAACAGCGTTATGTCACATTTTAAGGGTGTAAGAAAATGTTGATACACTGAAACGTCACAATATTTAATTTACTGATACTACATCGATTCTCAAAAGTACTATCGATTTTTTAATTAAGGCTTAATAAATGGATGTTGTAAGAAGAAATGTTAAATACAAATGCAGTTCTCACTGTTGTTCAGTGTTCCTCTGACAGCATAAAAATAAACTGAATTTAATCAGGTTTTTTTGCGTGCAGCACATGTGCTCTTTATACTGAGTTTTTATAATTACCATAAAATAATCTGGAGAAAAGAGTGGTAATACATCACGATATACAGCGGGTAAAATAAGTATTGAACACGTCACCATTTTTCTCAGTAAATATA